TATTTATGTATATAATTAAAGCAGTGTTTTAACCATAGCTTAACGTAGCCCGGTTGAATGCTCCACAGTAAGAACCTTTATAAGTTGTATCGTCAGGGCTTCAGTTGGCACTTTCCCCTTAAGTATCACTCAAGAGAGAGGCCTTACAAAGGGTTAAGAGTCTGATCTGGCTTTGTACAAAAGTATCGTGGACAAGCCAAAATTATTGCCCACTAAAATGTATGCTTTATAAATGCAGATTTTGTGAATCCACATTGTCTTAACATTGCTAAGTACTTACTTCCAAGGTGCTCTGAATATGTTAATAAGCGGGAAAAATGTATATTTGAAAAATGTGGAGATCACCTCCAAAATTTCATAAAAGCTTGTATTCAGAACAGCAAACATGGCCTTAAAATCAATTCAGAGAGATGAAGTTGAAACAAAACCATTCGGGTGTGGCTCCATCATATAGTGGTTAGCACATCTTCTTTACACGCAGAACATCCTTGGTTCACACCTTAGGTGCAGTCATGGACCACCATATCCCGGGTCCGCCAGGCTCCCAAGTGCACGCCGCAAGCGTGTGGGAGGAGACACCTCACCTTCAGAGATCCAGTTCTTAAGGGGAAGTGGCAACATCTATAGGTCAAGGGTGGAAGTGTGTGGGGGGGGATGGGGGGACGGGTTAAAGAAGAGGAGAAAAAAAGCATTCAGGACTACAATCTATTAACTTGTCACTGTCCTGCATGATTAGCTCCTGCCCTCCCCGCAGCCTCTCATGAAGTTGTACCATATCATCTTGAACTTTGTCTAGTGTTCTGTTAATTTTATACAGTATAAACTCAAGTATGTTTTGTAACAGAGTACACTGAAAACTGGATTTTGTTAGTCTACAGTAACAAGACATCACATGATTTTTTTCAAGGTTGTCAAAGCCGGAGTTTAAGTGTTAGAAGTACTAATGACAAACATTTCTTCACAGCCAATGAAAGAGAACTCTTTTGGTGGTGATGTTGGGTTTTCACCACAGGGGAGAAACCTTATAAGTGTGAGATATGTGCTAATTTTCATGGCTCTTCTGACCTTGACCCCCATCTACACCAAATATCAAACCTGTAGCTGTGTATCCAGTTTTGTTGGCCTTTGAAGTTCATTCCTTCCTCACTTGGCACCATGGGCTCAAATTCTCCATTTTTTTCCTCTAGGGAATTTTCTTAGCTTTAAACTTGGCTACTGTTGATATTTTGGGTACTCGTTACATATAGTCAGCATGTCTTTTTTTTTTTTTTTAATGGGTCTCAAAGGCAAATTTAGTCAGCAGCTGAATGGCAGCACTTTGATTTACAACGTTGTACATTCCGTTATATTCTAGAGCAGGGGTCTCCAACCCCCAGGTACTGGTCTGTGGCCTGTTTGTAATTGGGCCACATGGCAGAAAGTGAGCAGCCGACAAACAAAGCTTTATCCGTATATGCAACTGCTCCGCAGTGCTAGCATCACCGCCTCAGCTCCATCTCAGATCATAATGCTATTGATTCTTATAGGAGCACTGGTCTAGAGGCGGGCCAGAAACGTTGGGGACCGCCATCATAGAGCATCGATGGGAAGAATAGAATACTGAAAAATTGAGGTAGGAATATATGACCAGACTCCAACAAAGCCGAGGCCTTTGACCTCTAAATTTAGCTGAACCTCCTTTACCTTAAGGAGGCCTTCCTCCCCTCTCAGTCTTCTCTTTCCTGAAGAGCCTATAATGATCTCCCCTGAGATAGTTTCCTTGCATGAAACTGTGGGTCCTTGTACCCACCACCTTTCATTTTTCTAGACCAATTAATCAGATTTTTGCAGACCATAGGAAAGGAGTCTAGGTAGAAAGTCATCAGGTGTCAAGTATGACCATGAGGAGATACTATACCTGCCAAGACAGGATTTTTTAAAGATATGACAATAGCAATGAGAAATATAGTTGTGAATCTTACGGGTATTGAATCAGGTGGAAACTATATAATTTGTTTCAGGCTGGATTTGTTGATATGGGTGGACTGAACACTATTTCCAGACTCGGAGGTTAGCTCCAGCACCTGGGAATGCCTTCAGCAGTTTGCTCAGTTGAATGAAATC